ACACACACACACACACACACACACACACACACACACACACACACACACACACACACACACACCCACCCACACACCCACACACACACACACACACACACACACACACACACACACACACACACACACACACACACACACACACACACACACACACACACACACACACACACACACACACACACACACACACACACCCCCACACCCACACACACACACACACACACACACACACACACACACACACACACACACACACACACACACACACACACACACACACACACACACACACACACACACACACACACACACACACACACACACACACACACACACACACACACACACCACACACACACACACACACACACACACACACACACACACACACACACACACACACACACACACACACACACACACACACACACACACACACACACACACACACACACACACACACACACACACACACACACACACACACACACACACACACACACAAACACACACACACACACACAAACACCACACACACACACACAGACACACACACACACACACACACACACACACACACACACACACACACACACACACACACACACACACACACACACACACACACACACACACACACACACACACACACACACACACACACACACACACACACACACACACACACACACACACACACACACACACACACACACACACACACACACACACACACACACACACACACACACACACACACACACACACACACACACACACACACACACACCACACACACACACACACACACACACACACACACACACACACACACACACACACACACACACACACACACACACACACACACACACACACACACACACACACACACACACACACACACACACACACACACCACACACACACACACACACACACACACACACACACACACACACACACACACACACACACACACACACACACACACACACACACACACACACACACACACTGGTTGTGGGTAAACCATTCTAGTACCAGCTTCTGGGGGAACGACCCAGAGATGCATTAGGCAGCGGCAGCGCGTCCATGAGGAGAGGCGGAGGTTGGAGAAGAAGGACGCTTGTCGGCAGGCTGGGGCCTCTTTTTGAGTCAATGCAGGCGTTTGGCCCTTGGCCAGGACTGTGCAGGCTTGAGATTGATTTTGTTGGGCTGGAGCAATGAACATTGGGGGGCCCAACTTTTCCGGACCCCAAAGGCTTTGGGACAACGCATAGGTGAATGACGCACATATCACAAACCCAAACACAAACACAAGCACAAACACAAACACAAACACACACACACACAGAGTGAGCATCGTGCGTTGCTTGCCTGCCTCGGCCCCACCACCGGCACTTGCAGAGACACTTGGTGGGACTCGGGAAGGTGCGCTGCTGCATAGCATTCACTTGAAGTCGCCATGCCATAATATGAGGTTTGGATGTGCCCTGAAGCTCGCAAGACGCACTGTCAGACCACTGACTGTATGGGCGGGTTTTTTGGGAGTGTCCAAAAAAGGTTGCCCGTTTTAGGACGTTGGCTGGAGCCAGCTGGTTAATTTGGACAGTCACCCACCTTTGAGGCTGATGGGGTCACATGGTGACGGCTGGCGGGTGCGGAGGGCACCGAATTCGACTGCAGGATTCCAATTGTGGGTGAAGTTTCACAGGTCCCAAATTTGCTCGTTTGCCTTTATGTCACAGCGGTTTTCATCTTTGCGGGACGAGACAAAACGAGATCGGCACTTTTGGCGCTCAGATCAGCACTTGGATCATGATCGAGGCTTGCTTGCGCGTATTTTGGGGAGCTGACATATCTGGAATCTGGGCCCTTTCCACCAATGCATCTTCTGGGCAGGATCTTTCCATCGGCAACCAGCGCCGCCACGAACCGAAAAGGCTTCCGCCCGACGCGTCCGTGCCCAAATTCCAGAACTACGAAGCCCGGCTTCGGCTTGTGCGCGCCTGAGACGGCCGAGGTTTTGAGAGGCATATTGGGTGTTTCTCAAAATACCATTTTGAGAACAGCCCGTGTTTCTTCCATGAAATCATGGGGTTGCCGGAAACGGCTGAGTCAACGTGATCCCTGATTGAAATTGGCCGGTTGCGAGGTGCATGGTGCGCCACATGGCGGCCCGAGTTGTCGTGCTGCTTGCGGCTGCTGGGCTATGTGCGAATATGGACAATTTTTTTGTTGAGGGTACCTGTTTTGGGGATGGTTTGGAGAGAGAAGACAGGGAAACCACCCTTGGGGGTCTCTCTAGTATTTGCGATTTGTATGAGCGAGCTGGCCACTTCAGCAGGTGGTTCTTCTGCCACAGTCATAATGCTTTATGTGCACCCTCACGGGGAAAGAGGAACCACTCAAACTGGGAGTAGAACGTGTTCGTGTTCGGTGAACTGGGTTGGACTCCTACGAGCAGCGCCCAAACCTCATTGCTTTGGGTTGTACCTAAATGATTGTAAAGGTTTGTATAACCGTACCAACCAAAACCACCAGCCCTGTTAGTCTAGGGGTCGGAGCGAGGCTACTGCCTTTGGCACACCATCCTGACGTATGCCTCAGGGGAAATCCTGGTGCCCATTTGGCCTTGCTTGAGGGTTACTTCTTGGCGTTTCCCCAACGCTTACCTACCGTGGAGGGATGTGTTTGCCATCCCCCAAGGCGTGCTTTTACTTGCACGAGACTTGGCTGCATGGAGTGAAATGACGTGTGAGGGCAGCATACACGCGAAGGAACTCGTGTGTAAACATTTCTTTTTCTTCCGAGGCCGAATCCCGCTGTTTTCATGCATGCCCAAATACTACGGCATTTGTCTCACATTTTGGAGCATTCGTTTGACATCACCGCCCTCCCCACAACGAACGTGCAGCATGGAAAGCCTTATGCTTCCACGTTTGTTGGTGTCCTTGCGTGCAAACAACAGACCTCGACAGAGAGGCGCTAGACATTTTGGAGGGTGATCATGCTAGGACATGGCTGGCACCCCGAGCCCCTTCAGAAGGCAGCGCGCACTTGTTGGTAACGTTTACGAAGATTGTGATGGAACCGAAAACAAGCACATTCGTTAGAGGAATTTCCTTACAAGTCATTTGGGCAATCTTAATTTGCAGAGCACCCTCTTTCCGACAATCATGGAGGCTTTCAAGAGGATGCAAGTGATCCAACCCCTCCTGTGCCCTTCCACGATGCTTGGAAAGAAGGCAGATGACAACCAATGAGAATAGCAACATAATTTGTGCAGCGGGTGTTGCACCCCCTAGTCTTGCGCTTTTTAGGAGGCGGCCGGGCAGAACGTGCCGGCGCAGTCGGCCCTGGGTGTCCGCCTGGCAGATGAAGATCTGCAGAAGGCTGGTTACATGGTTTCTCAAAGTTGGGGTCAATAATTGTTTGGTTTCGTTTTGGGTTCCCTTTAAATACCAGAAGGGTCCACCATTTTGAGACCCCCCCATATGCTTGTTGGGTGGTTGAAACATTGCCTTTTGGGCAAAGTTGAAAGGGCGTTTCGTTTGGGAGGGGTGTTTGCCTCCATGGATTTTGTTGAAAAGGAAGTGAGAATGAAACAAACAGGGAGTCTCTTCACGCATGCCTGAAATGAGCCCTTGGCTTGTAATGAAACCTCAGATGAACAACGCCTGTGATGAAAAGGAGGGTTTCCACCCAGAATGAAGGATCCTGGCAACAACGGCACACCCCGATTCATCGGCTAGGGGTTTCTCAATACTGAGTTTCCATTAATTAGCTGCGTTGTGGAACTTAACGTGTGTACATATTGTGTATATATATATATACACTCATGGTGTGTTGATCGGTCGCTAGGTCACAGTCAGATTGTGCCCAGTCCCCGCACTTTTTCTGCGTGAGCTCGCGTGCTGTCTCGCCTTCCTTTCCCTCTGTCTCTCCCTTGGCCCCTCTGGTGCACTCTGGACCTGCAGAGCCTGAGGACGAATCTGGGCACCTCTGATTGATTCCAGGAACCCAAATGTTCCCCCGCCGTTTCTTGCAGCACCACTTGCACCATCTTGAGTGATGCAATCATCACACCTACCATGTCCTAACATGAGGCCAAGAGTGTTTTGATGCTCGCACGCAACAGGAGGTGCTTGACGTTCCACGTGGATGTTTTTGCTGCTATCCTTATTTGACATTTCTCTCTCATGCAATTAGTAGACTGATGTCCCAAACCTCGCCAGTAGGGAAAAAGGAACGCCCCATCGCATGGGTTCTGGCTGGTGCCTTGGAATTCATGGGATCTGGCCAGGGGGTGGTATCCGGGAAATTATATATCCGCAAGCCCGTGGTGGATTCCTCCAGCCCGAGCATCGATTACTTCGCTGCTGCTTGGCCCTGACGTCTGAGCTGCGAAGTTTCGGCATCTTTGGGGTGGTGGACCCCGTGAGGAAGCCAAGCTTCTTATTCTTAGGGGGATGACGATTTTGAGAACCCCCCCCAGCCCTTGTTCATCAGGGTTTTGATGGTGACTCAGCTGTTCATTCCCGTTGCATGTGCAATGGCGAGCGGATATTTCCGCCTGATCTGCCCTCAAGGTCTATTGGGGCTCTGATGCCAACACCAAAGCAGTGAACGAGCCACTGGCCGCTTGGCTTAGATGGCGCTTGTCCAAAACATCGCCTGAGGCCATTCGTAGGGAAGGACTTGCCAGTCATGTCTACCATGACTCTCCGCTTGTGAGGTCGTTTCCTACCTCAACGAAACGGGTGGGAACCCTCCCACCTGCAGTGGTGCGTCTTGCGACAAGCTCCTTGTCGCGGTTGCCAGGTCCAAGGCAGTTCGCGCTGGTGTTTGATTTTGGGGCACGAGCAATCCGCCCAAGAGGCAGCCACCTTTGATCTTCAGAGGCCTCCAAAGGGCTTCCCCCCTTCTGTTTTCGAGGCCCAAAGGGGACTTTTTGGCACGATCGCCGAAAGTTCCAATGCTCCAAGGATCGCCATCAACCCCGAGGGCCAGGGCTGGCGCATTTCGCGAGGGACAGACGGCTATGAAAACAACGAGATGGCGGATATCTATTTGTCCAGTCGCTGGGCAGGATGTGATGTTCGGTCAACATGTCCGGTCGTCGATGGTCCACTTGGGAGCGGCATGGGGGACTCACTAAATTTCTTACTTGTAAAAGCCCGGGGCTAAATTTCCAATGCCTTCAGGGGAAACAGCTACAGTTAAATTTGACCATGGCTCAGGAATTGGCTGGTTAATCCAAAAGTAGGTTTTGACGCTGTGGGTGGCTGGGACTAAAAAAGGGATGCCCACCTGTTTTTGCAGGCCAAGTGACATAAATTTGGCAGCCCTTCATTTTGACAGCACTCGACGTGCTTCTCAAGCAAACACTGGACTTATGGCAAAAAACTGCGCTTCTAACCAAGGTGCTGGCAGGATCACAGTGCGACTGGGCAGAGCAAGAAGTGAGCACAGCACAGTGCACCGCTCCCCCACACCACACATAGCCAACCTAGATTTTCCTGCTTTTTCTCTTGAGGAGAGCCACTCCATTTCTGACCCGATTTTGCCTCGCGCGAGTTGCGCATTTGGCCGTGCAAGCAGCTCAGGACACATTTTGAGGTGGAATCTGGCTGGGATTTCCTGACCATCGACGGCACTGGCCATTCCGGGTGGCTTGGATGCATGCCTGCGGGTCCCAACCTCAAGTGTGCATTCTGAAAACTCCGTTACGGGGGTCCACTGACAACCGGGCTGAACCTGCCACAGCAGCCGACAGCAAAGTTCGCCCTTGGTGAAGTGCTTCTTTTCCCGTTGCCTGATCAATGCTGTAGGCGGTGGATGCACCAAGTGGCCACACCAGTTTTGTTCATTCCTTGGACGACACACGTCCAAAGGACGAGTCGTGAACTTCATTTCTGCTCCGGGTGGGGCTTTCTTTGCGCGCCGCTGGTCAAGGAGCTATGCAACTGGCATGGCGCCCATCCAGACGAGCACGGACGCAGCGCACCGCGGCATGCACGTCGTGAAACTTGGGTGTGTGTCAAAATGAGAAAAGAGACACACCCAAATCATGGATCCCCTTTTCTTGAAAAGTCGGCCAACAACGACACCTAGGATCCCAAACTGGGATCGAATGTTGTGCTGCGTCCCAAAAGGGCCGCTGGATTGGACCGAATGTTGCAATTGAATCGTGTGAAATGCGAGTCAACTGAGGAGCGTCATTTCATGGGCAACGGACGGCTCAGTAACGCGGAGTGGCTGGGAGCTCACGTTCAGTCCTGAGTCTGAGGCTTGGCCAGCGAGATTGTTTCATCAGCCAGCATCAGGGTGTGCTTGAAGATACGGGGCCTTCAATTTGTTGTTCCACGTTTTGGCTCTTTGGCACCATAGGGTTCCCATGTTGCCCTTGCACTTCTAAGGAAGCGATACACGAAGTGGATGTTGCGAGCATTCCGACTCTGGATGCCACGCACTTGCTTGTGTATTCGGGCAACTCTCACGGAGAAATGATTGCACCAGCCTCCTCGCCCATCTATGACTTATTTGTGCGCGGCCCAGTGGGATTGCGACAGCGTCGCTCCCAAGCATGTTCAGCCAAAGTCTGGTACCCGAAGCACCTCTCAGCTATGTCCCACATTTTTTTTTCTTCGGAATCCCTGGTTCATGTCTGCACGGGCCTCTCTTACCTTGCCAAGTTTCTTGCCGTCTGTGTTATGGACAGTCGCTATCCTAAAGCAGAAAACAGAAGAAGAGGATGAGGAGGAGGAGGCGAAGGAGAGGAATGGGAGGGCGATGAAGAGGAAGAGGAAGAGGAAGAGGAATGATAATGATACTACGGAATAGAAGTAGTAGACGCGCTTTTGTGTTGGAGGACACACCAAAACCGCTTCAATGATGCCTTTTCCACAGGACATCAGGTGTCAGCCTTTTCTTCGGCTTGCTGAGCAATGCAAGGGTTTACTCTTGCCAGCCAGATGGCCAGCCCATCAGCAACAAGTCCATGCCGATGTAACATATTGCTGTACATTTCTTTTACATCATTAGTTAGGGGTGATGATTGGTTTGGGGTTGAAATCTCCAGTCACTGATGAAACCAAATGGATGAAACAGTCCAAACCACCAGTCACCACTCGCTTGCCCCGCTGTCTAGTCCGTTCAGTTGCTTGTCTAGTCAGCTCAGTTGAAAGGCTTAAGTGAGCTGCTTTGCTTTCTTCTCAGGTCATTGATCCGCCGTCCTCACTCACCTTTGCAGATGGCTCCGATGCCCCACACCACATTTCTGGGATGCTTCAGCTTGATGCTCCTCAGAACGCTGATGTGATTCGACCCTTGACCGCACACACACACACAGACATAAACACGCACACGACACTCTTGAGCTGAGCCCAACCTGCCCCTCCCCCCCCCCCCGCAGCCAGAAGGAGGTTCCACCAGCTGGTTGAAAAGTTTAAATTCTAGGAGCGCGCATGTAAAGCTTGATAACCATTTGGCGCTCACTTGTGAGAGACCGGCCAGCAAGCCAGTTTCCATCGCGCGAGTGCGCGTCTGAGGCTATGAGGTCTACTTTGGGAGCGGCGACATGCGCCTGGGAGTCTGCACTGGACTCATGGGCTTCCAGTTCCAACCAGGCCGGCTCGCTTTGCGCGGGGATTGATCCAACGTGTACACACTACTTACCAGTCGGTGGACAACTCGTGTGGACAAATGGATGGATCCTTTTGGTTCGCCCCCAACCCCCTCCCTCCAACCCCCAGGCCTGGGCCTGACAGAGGACTGCCGGTGCCTCAGGGGCCCCGAACTTGTGCAGGTGGATGTGCGTTCAAGTTTGCGTTCAAGTTCTGTCCCAAAAACGCAAATTCACTTATCTTCCCAAATTGAAGGACTCGCTAACTTTTGACCAGAGGGCTGTGAGGTCAGGACGGAACCCTAAAATTCGCATCTTGGGAGACCGAACGGGTGTCCTTCATGCATCCAAAAGGGAGTCAACTTCTGATTTTTAGGAGACACCCAAATGGGTTTGCCGAGCTCGAGGTTCTTTTAACGTATTTGGTATTCTCCCACTAGCAAACATGC